CGCATTGGCCAGCAGTGGCCAGGGCCAAAGGTCCAGGCATTTGGGAACTTGGGAGTTTCCAAAGCTGCTGGGGAAGACCTGCAGCAGAGCTGCTTGCCCAGCATCTCTGCACTGTCCACCCTTTGTTCCTGCAGTGCATGCAAAAACCAAAAATCACAGGAAACATTTTGAAACACACATCGACTGTCAAGCCACAAAACTCCCTGCTGACAGCTCCTCGTACTGTTTGGGTTGCTGCTTAATCCCTTGCAAACAGCTTCTGTTATTGAGTTAGTAATTACAAGGGAGTTGTTTCACCCGAGGCTGCTTTCCTCCCAGCTTTGCCACTGCCTTTGCTGTGAACCCAAGGCAGTCCATCCTGTTGGAGAGTCCCATTTGGCATCTGGCTGGCTGGGGGAGGTGAGCCCTGCCATAATTTTATATTTTTATCTCTTCACCCTCCTGGCTCCTCTGTCGAGAGCCCCATGGACCCACCACTGTGACTGGGACTCCCGCGTTAACCCGTTGCCTGCACTACCTACGGGGAGGCCCTCTTCCTGATCATTTTTTTGGGATCTCTGTTGTTCCTTTAACCCTGTGATTAAAGCCTAAAACAGCTGAGGCTGCCTGGCTTCCTTGTAATGTCTTTTAAGATGGGAAATTCCCAAGCCTGCAATGAGTTCACTTGGTCACGGGCAGATCACGGCTTGGGGGAGGCACAGCATTTGGTCACAGGCTGCATGAAGGCGAGTGGGGAACAGCTGCATGCTCCGGCGAGGGGTTTTTGTTGTTATTTTTCCTAAATATCTTTTAATTCTTCATATTTTCCTCCCTCTTTGTAACCTGCTTTTTCCCTTTGCACAGCTGGCCTCTCTGCCCTTAAGGCCCACCAGGCGCTTGCGCCACCAAGCCCTCTCCCAGCTGTGTCCAGAATGTGGGCAGGTTGGGCAGTGGGACAGGGTGGCCATTGTGGGGGGCACAGCTTATGCCAGGAAGGTGTGAGCTGAGCGTGGAGAGACAAATGCCTGTGTGGGCTTCATGCCACATGGCTGGGTTGAAGAAGGCTCTTCCTTTGAGCCATGGCCAGGCGTGGAGACAAGCTTAAGCTGTTCCCTTTTCTGAGCACCAATAAAATAAGCAAACAGTTAAGGTTCTCCTGGGCCCAGCAAGGAAACTCTTGCAAACTGATTTTTTTGCTTTGTTTGGCCATGTGGCAGCTACAGCATTGCAAACCCTCAATACTAAAAAGCCCGAAGCCTGGCTTTAAAACATAAGGATTTGCTTTTTGCACCTGAATATCCCATTGAGCTCACTCTCGTCTCTGCCTGCTGCTTTCTGGAGCCATGTTCTTGCAGGAGGACCCATCGCTGAAACTTTGCTCTGCTGCCTGGGAGGCTGAGTGTGTTTCCTCCAACAAAAGATGAACCTCCTGTTGAATGACATATCCTGAGGCTGGGCCTTTAGGTAAAGCAGCAGTTGAGCAATTAAAACAGGGAGAGTTGCCAAAGCTCCCCAGCTCCTCCAAGATCACCTGTAGCGCCAGGTGAGCCCAGCTGGCACCCCATGCAGAGGTGATGCTTTCCAGTGGTGTGCTGCAGCCCTCCCAGGGCTTATTCCAGGATTTATTTCCCTAGCCTGGCTTTGTGGGGTGGTTGTAAACCACCTGCTCCAGCCTTGAGAAGCGGCGCAGGCGCCTGCCTTCCTGCGCCCCACGCTGACCTGTGCTGAACACGCGCCGAGGTGCTGCGAGGAAACGGCCTCCAAGCGAGCGCCCGAGCAGCTGCTGCGAGCGGGCGCCAGGCACTGCGGAGGTGTTAGCTCCAGGCGCCCGGGCCCGCGGCTTCTTTCAGCACCTATTCATTTTGAGCTGTTAAAAGCAGAGACACACGCTTGTGGATGGGTTTGCACGCCTCTCCCAGGGCCACCGTGGCCAGGTGGTGTGCCAGCCCCTCAGGATGCCAAGCCCTTCCTCCCATCCCTGGTCCAGGCTGATGCACCCACACCTCCTGTGACTTATACCCCTTTTTGCACCCGTTGCTTCCCAAATACCCTGCTGGCAAGTCCTCAAGTCCGAAGAAGTCTCATGCCAAAAACCTTTCTACTCACCAGATTATCCTAAGGAAATCAGAGCAGGGATGTGTTTGTTATCCTTGCTGTGATTTTGCCCGGGATGTCCATCCTTGGGGAAGGACAGAGCTCACCACTACTCCAGCTCCCTTTGGAGGATCAGAGAAAACATGTCCTCACCCCAAAATGAACCATGCTGGAGTGAGGCACACAGCTTGTCCCTCAAGGACAGCCTGGAACACACCCTGATAGGAGGCTCCCCAGGTTCGCTGTCACAGCACAAGTCCCCACTTGGGTCTGTGCTCCTCAGAGCTGAGCCATGGACTGCAGGTGCTGTGCACGTGCCAGGGGGACCTCGGAACTGAGGCACAGGGCAGCAGCTGCCTTTGCTCCCCGCAGCCTCGTGCCTGAGTGCCAGATATGCAATATCTCCCTTGCTCAGAGGAAAGGGAAGCGCAACAGCCTTTCCGATCGAGGGAAGGATCGCCGTTGTCTAGACGATGTGACTAAGGAGGGAAGGGGCCGACTATTTGTACAGCTTTGGGGAGTGTAAACAGTGCTGAATATCCCAGGCCCTTCAAAGCAGAGGAATCCGGAGATCAGATGAAAGTGCAGGGAAATTCTGGCCGGGTGTCCAAACAGAGCAGCTAAGGAGAAGGGGACCTCTTCCAGACGCAATCCCCAGCGCTTGAGTCATTTCAAACCAGCCCAAGTGCTGGGTGACAAGTGGGAAGGAGGAGCACAGCAGAGCCAGCAGTGGACAGGGCTGTGCCTGGGCTCCCAGGACTTTCCCAGCTTTGGTCACTTCTCTCTGCAATCTCAGAATAAGTGTCCTGAAAATGAAACTGGAGGCCCTGGGAGTCCCGCTCTGCCTCGCAGTGAGCTGGTTTGGCCTCTGCATTTCATTCAGCTCACAAAAGAAAGAGAAAATGTTGTTTGAGAGGTTTGGTTTCCTTTTTTTCTTTTTTTTCTTTTTTAACAACTTTAAATACAGTACTGAGTATAAATTAATCTTACATTTTTTAAAAAAGGCAAAAAATTTAAAATAAAATAAAACCTCACCATCTTTACAAACCAAAGGAAACAGATTTTGGAACAGAAAAACGAAGTGTCTTAAGACTTGAAGGCCTGGGGTTGGAGGGAGGGAGCAACGTGCCACCTCAGCAGTGGTATGAGAATTGCTCTGGGCTTGCAGGAGGTGAGGGCTGGGTCCCTCCACAACTTGTAACAGCTCCTCAGCTGCAGCTTTGCCTCCTTCCTCCGACTCCCTTTGGGGCTTTGCCCCGCAACAGAGGTGTGTGTGCAAGGGGAAGAAGAGGCTGGAGGCGGGAGGAGGAGGGGAGAGCTGCCGCGCTAGCTCTGGGCAGGCATTTTCTCCATGTGTCACTCTGCAGTGCTCAGCATGGCACAATCCAAGGCCAGGACTCCGAGGTGAGGCTGGAAATTCCCACCTTATGTAACATTACTGCTAATGGTGACAGAGTATTGGGTGTGCAGAAGTAGCCTCTGCCTACAGAGTCCTCTCCTCCCTCCTCCTGAGCAGGCAGTGGCCTGGGAGGGACTCTGCAACTGACCCTCCATTTGTTCTCTGAGGCCTTCTCACTTAGAAGGGCCCCTTTCTGTCTCAGATGGCTGCTGCCAACTGCAAAGACTATTCTCAATCCTTTCTCTATACTTACACAGAGATGCCCACATCTTGGACCAGCTTCCAAGCTAGGTGGGCTTGGAATACCTAAGGGGCAAAATCCAGAAGGAATTTGAGAGAGAAAACATGAGGAAAAAAGATGGAAGATGCAGGGACATTGGCAGGGAGAGAGCAGTGAAGGTGTGGTGTGCAGGACAGCGTGAAGGGGTTAAAAACCTCAGGGGAATGACATGATTCTGCTTTCAGGACCACAGAGCAGGCAAGGACAGCTCACTGAGATTAAGTCATGCTTCTAAGTTTGGCTGTTGTTGTTGGTCTTGTTGTGGTGCCACTTCGCCTCGTGCAAGGAAGTTGTGCTGGAGGGTTGGTGGAGAGCGAGAGAAAAGGGCAACAAGACAGAGATCAGATGATGTCTCTGCCTGTCCCGTCCCAGACCTCGCAGGCACGTTCCAGTCACTGTGCTTTTCTGCCGACGCATGCATGCGCCTCTGAGCTTCCTGCCACTGGGGAATTAAATCCATTTAAGAACATATATATATATATTTATATATGTATGTATAAATACACATACGCACACGCACACACACACACGTATATATATATATATATATACACACAGATATACACACGCACACATACAGAGCGAATTTTAAAAATAATCTGAGTCCAAGCCTGGAAAGTGGAATTCTCCATCAGCATGTGCAAAGATGGCTCCCCTTGGCAGGGGCCGGGGGCGTGGAGACAATTCTGCCGCCGTCTGCTCCTTCCCCATGATCCAAACACCTTCCAGTCAGCACCAGGAGCAGGAGGGGCAAGGGAGGGGGGGAATGCATTTGGCTTCTTTGTTTTGTTTTTGTTTTTGTTTTCTGTTCCCCGAGATGTTGTATATCTTAGTGGTTTTGGTTTTTCTTTTTTAAAATAAAATATACACGCACACATTAAAAATATATATCTGTCCAGGTAGGGTGCTAAAAGTCCTTAGTGCATTTTCCATCATGGGTTGCTGCTCACAATCTGAGATATGCCTGTTTTCAAAATAGAGGTCCAGTGCAAGTGTTGATCTCAGCTGGGCCCCCCAGCCTTACCAGAAACACAAGGGGAAGGGAGGGTAATCCCCTTCCACCCTCTGTCCATTTGTTTTTCTCCTCCTCTCAGAAGAAATTGGACCCACTTTCCTTTTCACATTTTCCATCCTGTCCTCTGGAGCAGGGAAGGCATCGTCCTGCCCTTGTTGCATGTTGCGGTTGCCAGGGTTCGTGGTTTTGTTTGCACTTTGTTCTTTTCTCATATATATATATATATAGATCATGTTTGTCCTTTTTTGTGTGTGTAAAACTTTAAAATTATGCTAATAAATGAAAGAAAGGAGAGGCTTTGGTGGGAGAAGGTCCACTGATGGAAAGGGAAGCACCAATTGCCGTCTGGATCAGATGTTGAGGCAGACGGACGAAGAGGAAAAGTTATCACTCCAAGGACCCCATGGGGGCAATACAGCAAATATATTAAATAAACCTGGAAGTGAAACAAAAACAGATGCAGCATTAGAATATGTAACCCTCTGCCCCTGCAACTCCCCTCCTCTCCCATTTTCTCCTCTGGAAATGTCTGTGTCAAAGTGCCAGGTCAGAAGCCCAGGAGGGCTTTCGACCTTCTCTATTTTTTTTCCCTTGGACAGCTTGAGCCAGAGCTGAGATTTGCAAGGGTTTGCATCATTTATACCCTGGGAACCTCAGGCTGGTCAAGAGGATCCAGGGATAATCAGAGCCCTCATATTGCTGAGCGTGGGAATACCAATCCCAAGACACTGCCTGGCGCCCCTTGTTCCCAGCTCCTGGACCACCACATGGTAGAAGCCTGTTGTCCCCTCTCTTGAGGCGAGGGAAAGGGAATGTGAAGTGAGCGGCCCAGGCTCATTCCAAGGGGCTGCGGCAGAGCTGGAATTGCTGAGTCATGGGCCAGGGCTTTCCTGCTAGGCTGTGCTGCCTCTCTCTAAATTCAGCCCCCCAGCTCCGTGCCCTGGCTACTCATTCTTTTCTGCACCTTTCCCTCTCTCCTGGGGAACCAGGGCTTATTCTCCCTTCCCTTGTACCAGTGAAATTCTTCTGATGACGAGGGAATTACTCCTGTTTACACAAGTCAGGGAGAGAAGAATCAGACCCTGGACTGACAAAGTCCAGAACTCTTGCCAGAGATTCCAGTTCTCCTTTCCCCTGGTATGACCTTTCTTATGCACACAGGCTTCCTGCTAGGGGAGAGATGAACCAAAATTGTCGCTGCTTTTCTTTTCAGTCTTTCTGCCAGCTCAACTAATGAAATAAAAGGAAAAGGGATCCCCAGAGCAACATTAATTCTCTGCTTTCAACGGAGAATCAATAGAGAAAGGAGAACAGAAGTTGCTCCACAGAAGAGATGAATTACATGGACCCCAAGGGGATTTAGGTTTAGAGAGAAATCAGGCTCGCTCTCTGCCTGCAAGGGAGGCAGAGAAAAGAGAGGGCAGGGCCTGAGAGCAAGTTTGGTTGCAGCATGATCCTTCCAGTTTTGTGAAGAGCCATAAAGCCATAAATAGGATGCACGTGTTGGGTCCCAACCTAGTCCTTCTACCTCCTTCGACCCCGGTTTTATCACACCCAGGCCCTGCAGTAGCCCCATACTGAATGAGTGCCTGGTGCTACGGGAAGCACTCGAGGTGCTTGGGCAGAACCATGTCCTGTGAGAGCATTTCTCCCGACTGGAAAAGCCGTTTGCTGTTACCTGCCTTGTGCTCTCTCTCCCCTGCCAGCACTTCTATGCTATGAGGATTTCTTTCAGCACTTTCTTATCGTTGACATGCTTGTACTTCTTATGTTTCCTCTTCTGCACCGGGGGCCGGCGTACTCTCTGCCTCTGTGAGACAGCGGCTGTGGTGAACGACGGTGACAAGCCTGCCAAAACAGAGGGGAGAGTGTCTGCACAGCTGGGTCACGTTGAAATATCTTTCTCCATACACTATCAACAAAGAGCTCTGCAAGCGGAGGGCCGCAAGCCCTTCTCCTGTTCTTCCATTCCTTGTCTTCTGTTCTCCACAGTCTCTGCCCTCTCCCTTTTCCCACGATGCCCTTCCTCTCACCTCTCACCTTCCCCTCCTTCATTTCCCTGTTTCAGGCCCTTGCTGGCAGGCAGACATCCTGGGAAAGGTCCCTCAGCTGGTATATACCAGAAAAGGCCCACGGGATTCACCGGAGCTAAGCAGATTTAAACCAGCGGAGGGCTCTTTCCTCTCTCCCCAGCCTCTCTTCTCACACCTCCCTCCACTCCACTAATGCCAAGATCCTTACGTCTCTGTTCACGAGGCGCTGGCCGGCTGTTCCTGGGGGGCTGACGGGACACCGCTTCGCACCGACACTGCACATGGTCCTCCAAAGGCACAATGACTTTTTTGAATTTTGGCTTCCTCTGGACAAATTCGATCTTGTTCACCTATTGGGAAGAGGGATGCAAGCAAAAGATGAATTCAGCAGTAGCTCCCACTCTGTAAAAGTAATCAGTGTCAGTTCCCTTCAGTACTGGCTTTCTTCCTAAAGGGTCGGAAGACGGTTTATAGAGCACAGTTCAAATTCAGGGATGGTGTGTATGGGAGCTAATTCTGCACACACCAGCAGAGCAGACCTAGACCAGGCAAGTTTGGATGTGACTGGTTGTTTCCCCCATTCCTAACGACTGCCGCTGCTTAAGCAGGATGACTGGTTGATCGTAGACAGAAACATGGGACGTGCAGAACGTGCTACTGGTTTTCTGAAAGATGTGATAGTGGAGACCTGGGGGCAACCAGAATTAATTCCCACAGGGTGCTACAAGAAGGGCAAAAGGAGAAGAACTCAGGCCCGATGCAAGCAAATGCAGCTTCACCATCTCTGCTGAGGCCTGTCTGAATTTGTCTCAAGCTCTTTAATAACTCACAGGGCTGAAGCCCTCAGCTCTGTGTTTCACGGGAAAGGCGGTGCTCTGGAAATTCCCTCGGACTCTCCACCAGTGCTGACTCAGAGGGAAGACTCACTGCTCCACATCCCACCACAGGGCACAAGCTTTCCAGGGGGTCCTCCCACTCCAGCAGCAGCCAGGCCTGACCCCACTCAGCTTATCTAACGAGACCGCAGTCCCTGAAGTGCTCCGCAAGCTATAAATACTTGCTCTGCCGCACGTCTGGGATTGAATTCCTCTAAACCCACTGCCCCCAGCAGCATCCCTCAGCCAGCACTGAAGCAGCCGGGCTGTTTATCTTTCCTTGAAAGCCCACTCCACACGCTTCAGACCACACGCTGCTCACTAGACAAACACTTCCAGCCAAACAATAGAGAGACCTCTGTCCTCAAAGAAACCATTTCCAGGTCACTTTTTCAAGCTGGCTTTTGACCTCTCACTTGTTTTTTCCACAAAAACAACTCCTGCTCCCCCCCATTTTTCCCTCATTCAGCCTGGCTTTTCTGAGAAAGGAATTTCCTGATGAAGAGGGCTGTGTGAATACAACCTCTCCCAGCCAACCTCTGCCGCCTGCCTGGGGGAGTCTCTTACGGCTCAGGCAGAGGATTAGTATGGGATGAGTATTATTTTTAAGCGAGCTGTCTGGGAGGAAGCTGTGAGGAGATCACTGGTAGCTGTGAGGAGGGCAGGATCAGAGCAAGAGGTCAGCCATCAGGTGTCTGCTTGCTGTTGAGTGGGTCAGGAGGTAACTGTGGGGCTGAGAAAGAGGAGAAGCTGCTCTAGTGCATGTCTTGGGAAGAAGCTGCAGCAGCAGTGGGGGGATGGAGCACTTAACACTGCAAGTCCTTCACTTTTTGCACCAAAATCAGTTCCTGCAATGAAAGCGTCCTGTTTCTTCTGCTCTAACACATCAGGCAAGACCACTTCCAGCCACAGAAATAGCCATGGCATGGAGCTGCAGCTGGGGATGGTTCCCTGTAGCTCAGCTATGGTGACAGTCCCCAGCTGCTGGACAGCACCAGCCCTCTGAGTAGTCACCCCACGCCAGAGGCTGCAGCGCTGGACGGCTAACGCAGCCGATGTGACTGCGGAGGGGACGCGAGGGAACAGACAGCTGTGTGAGCCTTGTACCCGAGACCTGCTGTGGTTTTGGTCCTAGGGGGCTGGGATGGAGCTGGGCTGTGGGAGGAGGGAGCAGCAGGAGGTGTCTCCCTTACCTGGACGTGCCGGATGCGAATCTGCGTGGGGCGACACTGCACGTTGCGGTTGTTGCAACAGCCGGAGCAGCGCTGCACCTCCACGCAGGGTGGCCACACCACAAAGTTGGCATTAGTGCTGTCTACCATGTTGCGGGAGATTTCAAAGACCACTGCCCGTGTCTTGCACTCTGCGAGAACAGCTGGCTCTGCTGCTGCCAGAGCATCTATGGAGGGCCAAGAGAAGAAAGTGGGATGAAACAGGCTTTGCAGCTGTTACCAACCCACTGCAGCCACCTCTACTGGAAGAGAAAGACCCCACACGGCGCTCACACACACACACAGATGTTCTTTCTCTTTCCCCCACCCCTCCAGCTCCCTCCCTGGACAGAGCCATGCCTTGTGGAGGAGTCCCCAGTAAAATGATGCTTCTCATCATAGGGGTAGTCCTACACAGGAGGTGACACTTTAGAGCAAATCAGCACTGGGGGGATTCAAAGCAGAGCAGCTTGCAGAGCTCCAGACTCCCTCTCCTGCCCTCCTGGTGTGTAACACCCAGCTCCTACGTGGGGCCCAGACCCTCCTTCTCACCTGTCTACACATCCACGCACACTATAACCTCTACCCCCACACATGTATCATCTCAGACATGCATCTGCACACAGCCACAGCTTCTCAGGTGAGTGCCCCAACAATTACAAGGTGCAACACCCCCAACTCACCTAGGCTTCGTCGCTCTCGAGACAGGGCCACGGGGTTTTGACCGGGCTGAGTTGCATTCCCGCTCAGGTTTGAGCTATCCTCCTCTGCAAAGGGAAAGACATGACCTAATACCACCGGGCAGAGGCAGAACACGGCGGGCACTTGTGCTGTGCTCATCACACAAAGTGCAGAGACGTAGGATAAGCCACGGCCCCAGTACATCACACTAGGTGTAAATCTACCAGCAAGGTCATAGCTGTGCTGGGGCAGACACTTTAGGTTTGCTCTTGGCTCAGACTAGGCAGCTCAAAGCAACAAGCCTATCATGAAAGAAGGGTCCCAGTTAGGTCTGGGAGAGGAAAACTCCAGCTCAAGGCCTATGGCAGGGCTTTCTGGTGTCAGAGAGGAGTAGCAGAGGGATACAGATCAGCAGGCTGAGACCAGGATACGTCAAGAAGGATCAAAGACCAGATGGGAGAAGCAGGAAATTTGGTATATAGCACTGAGGTGCCTTGCTAGAATGGCTTGGGACTGGGAGAGTTGAGGGGTGAGAAGGCAGGTGAAGGAGATGATGGGTGGGAGTTGGGGTGCTTGCTTTCTCTCTCCCAACCCACCACAGCCACTCTAGGTTAGAGTCAGTTTTATGACAGAAGAATAGAAAAACAAAGTTAAAATTACTTTTCCCCTATACTATTCTAAGGTAAGCTGCAGGATCTGGAGGTTGTTCACTCAGCGATGGGAGAGGAAGGCTGACAGCATTCAGGCCAGCCCTGAGCAGTTCCCTCCCACCCCACTGCTTTTTCCCATAGGAAGTGTTGAATAGAGAAATGCCCATAATCCCCATGGAGCACTCCAACACACAGCCCCTCCTGAGCTCCGGACAATGGCTGTGCTCAGAGATAGCTCCCACCCAGCCACAGCTCTTTCCTTCTCTGACCTGCTTTAGCAGCTGAAGGAAGCTGAATGGACGTCAGCATCAAGGGAGCAATTCTCTTAAAGGGAATTTGGGGCCAGTGGAAGATCTCTGTTTATCAGATGTGCGGTGGAGCAGACTTCCCATACCTATCATGTCCCATTCCTCTTCCTCAGCCCTGCCTTAGTGTAGCCCTCTTATAAGGGGGAGAAGAGACTTTGCTCTCCACTCAGCCCTGAAGCAATTGCTGAAGGATGTGGGATGGGTACACAGAGGCTGTATTCACAAGACAGGAACCATGTGCCTGAGCAGCCAACAACTGCCCATGAGGTGGACAGTCAGACACCCTTTAAAGCATCTGGAGAGGTGTGATCAACTCTAGGACACCGTTCATCTTGCCCTGAGTCAGACACCCACAATGAGATCTGGTGGATCATGCTCTAGAAGGGCATGTAGTTCTCTAGGGACTACAGAGGGTGTCTGGCTCAGATGGGCATGCACGCTTTGCAGGGAGCTACAGTTAAGGGAGATGATCTCCACTCTATACACTTCTGTTGTTGGGTCTACAGTAGTGTCTAAGGTCAGGAGAGCCGAGTACCTCAGCTCATCTGCCTCCTGGAGCTGCCTAATCCTGGCTGCCTGCGCAGTCAGTGGAGGGCAGCAGCTGTGACAGATACAGGGTGCGTGGACAGCACAGGGAATAGCCCTAGCTGTTTGGGGGATTATTTTGCTAATACACTTATTTGCTAATACACTCATTCCACACAGGCCAAGCAAATGGTGATGCCCCTCAGTCACTGCCTGGGAAGGGAGGAGAGCCATAGGGTGCAAGAGACAGCTTCACAGCACTGTTT